TGAGCACCACAAGGCTCTCCTCTAGCAGGCCGGCGGCCGGCGGGGCGCGCGCGCCCAGGACCGCCGACTTGCACACCATCATGAGCACCACAAGGCTCTCCTCTAGCAGGCCGGCGCCGGCGGCGCGCGCGTGGCCAGGACCACGTACTTGGGGACCATCTTGGGCACCACAAGGCTCTGCTCTAGCAGGCCGGCGCCGGCGGCGCGCGCGCGGCCGACACCACCGACTTGTGGAGCTCCTTCACCACGACCAGGCACTGCTCACGTGGGACGAGGCCGACGCCGGTCCGCGCGCCGGCGGCAGCACACCGCCCTGCCCGAGCAGCACCTTGTCGTGGTGCGCTTTAAGGCTAAGGCGGGGCGGGCGTGACCGATCCCCCGTTGCCTAATTGTTTCCATTTTAAACAACTGTGCGCTTGGCGCCCTTTCCTCTCAGCGCACTACATCTCCCCTGCGCACCACGGCCACACCGGTGGGAGAAGTGTCTCTCCTCTCTCTCTTTCCAAACCAGCAGACTAATTTCTTACACATACACATTCTTGTATGTTGTTGGCCTTATTGTCATATGAAAGTTCCCTCATCAAATTATGCTGATTATCGATTTAGAGTGGCTGCTCACAGATTTCTCTATGGGTCTTGAGAAAGCAACAACAAAGCACAAGTTGTATGTCCATCAGTATCTTTTTCTCAACTGTGGATTCTCTAAAGAAGAATAAATAATATGGTTTACCTTGGAGCGGGCTACTTAAAAGCTAGTTATAGTGGTGTGATGTCAAGTCACCGGACTTTTAAAATGCAACAAGTTAAATACTGCAGCTGGATTAAATCAAGAGCTTACGTGCCCAGTTTTACCTTTGAGGTGAGTATGAATAATTTTCCAAAAAATGACAAGCCATAAGGATCTGTTCTGTGAAAACTTTATTTAAGACACATTATTACAGACTATTCTTGCGTTTGAAAACCCATAGCTCTTTCCCTTATCCATTGTGTGGATGGCATGTCTAGGGACCAAAAACCTACAACAAAATTAAAGGTTAGGTTGTTTTGTTTTTAAAATCACAAAAATGTAATCAAATTAGGTTGGCATTTACCTTTAGGTGACGGTTGTCGCTTGAACACAGATCTATGTCTTGAACATTTACACACTGCTTTATTATCGAGACCGGAGGCTTGATAATACTGCAATGAGGAAAGAAAAATAATACAAAAGCATGCAATATGTGTAGGTTCTACAAGTGTCCCTAGAGTTAAAGTAAATAGAACTTACTTCTTCACATTTCTGACATGGCCAGCCAGGCAATGATTTCCGCTTTTTTCCCAGCACTTTGGTAGAGTGGTGAGGCAATGCCAACATTTCGCTCAAACCGGGCAGTCTGTAATATTGAATAAATTACCCTTTGAAATGTGGCTGCTGGCTCACAGATGTAGTTAATTACCTGTCATAACTAGTGATTAAGACCTCTTTTGTGCTTCTTTGCTGCTCTCTAATTTCTGCTTCTTCTTGGTGTGTTGAGGTTTCAGCATCATCACTACTTATTGACTTGCTGGAAGATAAATAAGAAATATAG